CGGTTCATTATTCACGCGATAATTCGCAGTCGCATCTCTCGATACGATTATCGCGAACGACCCACTCTCCGCTTGATTGCGGCGTGAAAACGTTTCTAGTGCGACGAAGGCGTATTAAATTCTTACGTTACATAACGATTCTTAGTATGGAGATTGATATGATCTAACGTAAAACACGCTTTTGCCGCTGGCAAAATATTTAGATATTCGAGCTAAATGACGTAATTTTTTCGTGTGCGCTGTTACGTCGTTATCACGACGAGTCGGAGCGCCGCCGCGCGAAGCTTATCGGGACGGTTTAAATTTTGATTGTATATTCGATGATGCGTGTACGTAGGCACGCACGTACGCGCGCACGCACTCACGTACGCACGCACTCGCGCGCTCAATCCCGGCAACGCGGGGTAACAGCGGACGAATGCCGTGCGGCGCGTCCGTTGGCGGCAGTTTCATTTTATAGTTAATCGCTCTTTATCGAGCCAGTCGGCCGCAGTTTCCGCGTAAATTATTGCTGTCATAAATTTATCCCCGATCGGTAATTATCGGGCTGAGCCATCCGCCGGAACGGGCGCGAATTACGAGCCAATTCCAATTGGCGTTTCAGTCACTCTCTATCGGCGCGGCGACGCGCGGCGGTTATTGTTACCGGGAGGCGACTTCAACGATTTACTGCAGTGACCTTCTCGTTTAAAGCGCATGGCGGATTAACAATTTCGGGCGTTTCGCGAATTTCCTATTACGGCGTCACGCTTATCCGCCGCGCCGCGCGGGCGATACGCAATTGCGGTAACTGCGAGCTCGCCGATAATAGCTGCACGGCGGATTGAATCGCGCGGAACATTGCTGCATTGTTAACGTGAATTATAATTGCATCGAGTCGCTGCAGCATTTTCAACACGATCTCTCTCTCTCTCTCTCTTCCCCCACTCACACACATACACACATATTCTCTCTTACTCTCTCACTCTCACCGGCGTGATGTCCCCTTGCGCGTTTAATGACGCAAACGCGGACCGTGAAGCGCGTTAAAATCTCGATAATAATTAATGTTTGCGATATCGAATGTTTGTACGTGACGCGATTATATGAGATTAACGCGAGATATGGTATAGCCGTGTAAGTTTATTTTACAAATGCTCTCGAAACGTTACATACCGAGCGTTTGAGGGTTTCTATTAATTTACGTCACAAATATCAGCGATGATATTTTTATTCATTATAGCGCAATTTTTGTACACCAGCTGCAATAAATACTCTTATCTTCGCATACGAATTGCACGATTGTATTCTCGTGAGAATCTGTGATTTGCCGTTCACAAGCGGATAATGAGCCGAGAGGACCGACGCGTGACACGTCAAATGAAAAGATTACGTTTGCTATTCCCACGATCGACGTCGAAATTAGTACGTGGCTGCGCGTATCTAACGGGTGGACACAATCGAGTGTGCGTGCGAGTTACCGTGAGCGGTTGTAGTAAAGCTCACGCGAAAGGTAAGCGAGCGATCATAGATCGTAGATAAGTACAGTCCAGGCGCCAACATCATTTTCAGCTTCGAGAAACGTGGTCGCGGTGTCGAGGGTTGTGGGAACCTGACCGTTGTAGTTATGCAATCAATTGCAGATACAATGTTGTCGATCCAAGGATGCAACGGAGAAAAAAAATTAACTATTATACTAACTAGCATAAAAATCGAACAACGATAATTATTTTTAGCGATCGAGCAAACGATTGGACTTATGTGAAACGAGACATCGAGAATTATGACTACACTTTTGCAATTTATTAAATGGATCAGTGTACGTTTAAGTAAAGTTTGCTTGCGCAGATATTTTTTTCTTATGTCACATTAAAAGTTCTCAATGCTATAATCGGATTGAAACTTTCGGTTAGCAGTAAAAAAATAGTTTTCAAGATCGATCGCACGTCAACATCGAGAGAGAGACGTTTCTCCCTAATTAAGGAATTTCATTTCGCAGCGAAATCGTCAATTTAGCCTAAAAATAATAGTCTCCGGAAAGCTACCCTCGTAATCGAGCATTTGTCTTTGGACGCGGTCCTAGTCCCCGCCGATGATATTTCAGGTATAACGCGGCCTCTTTAGCCGGTGGCAATTGCCGCGTTCCTCGTAAACGAGCCTACTTATCCGGGGGCTGATTTACCTCCCTCGCAGCGCGCATCGCCGCAACACCGTTTCCCGTTGGCAGAATGAGCAATGGTCTGAAACGGGCGGGAACAGCTTGTTAATTAACTCAATTAAATTGTCAGATATTACTTTCGTTTCTGCCATCCATCCACGCCCCTCGTGTCACCGTAATATTTCCATAACAGAGGAGGGGTCGTTATCCTCGAGCGTGCCGTAAATTCAAATAATCCGAGCGTGTACTTTATTGTACAATTTTCGCGCGTGCTACGGGAGACAATTGAAGAAAGAGCCATCCTCCAATGCATCTCGCGCAGCGGACTTATTGTATTTCCGAATAGAGTCGCCGGTCGTCCGGTCGCCGCACCAGGTGCTGGCCATCCTCGAGAACAAGAATAATTACGCGATTTCGCGGTGGCGGTTGGCGGGAAGGGTCGGAAAAAGGGGCGAAGGGGTGGTGGCGGTATAGTAGTGGTGGTGGTGGAGGAAAAGCTGACACCGGTTTCGCGGGCGGCAACAGTGGCGGTGGTGGCCACGTACTTTACGGGGACAAGCGGCTTAGCCAGCCATGCCGGTGAACATAATTCATTCGGCGTAACTCGGTGTCTCGCTTCTCCGTTACCGGCAACACGTTCCAACGCACTTCGCGCGGACGGTGGAAACGGGAGGAAGTCTCCCTACCCTTATTTATGGTATTGCGCGACTGTACATTCAGATTCGGTCGCCGTTTCACGGCGTCGGGCGCTCCATGTACGGAAAATGGCTTTTGCCAAGGCGTTACCGAATTATTTATATATGAGATGGAGCACACCGGTTAGCCGCTCGGGCGGCCCCCAAATCTGCTCTCTCGTCGTTGAAGTTCATTCCTTTGGTAGTTCCGCGATTGCGCGCTTTATGCGGTTACGATAATTGTACGTATAAAACGGCACTTTGGAAAGTGAATTTCTTCGATGGAGATACTCCGCTCGTCTGCTAACTTTATGTTTCCAGACATTCTCGCAGCAAGAATTGCAAAGTTGTTGTGAATTTCTGAAAACGATTAATGAACTATTAGCTGTTAATTTTATTACTTTTCCTTCTTTGTCTCGAAAGCTTGAACTTTAACGTAACACAATACAATTATTCGAAAGACAGTATTCATTAAAAGACTTTTATTTATTTAAGATGGAGAGAGAGATGATAAATCCGAGATAATAATTCTTGCTAAGTGAAAATATGAACTTTAATAATTCGCAAACTTTTGTCGCGTGTATAGGCAAGGTGACAAGGGGGGGTATCAGAGGAGAGTGTTTCTCCGTGAATAAATTGAATTCAACACAAATTAGCGGCAGGGTGGGTTTACGAATCCGTCTTGTTGTCACGAGAAATAATTGCTGCAAGCATTCCCGTAGGACGAAAGGGACGCTCTCGCCTTTTCCCGCGGGGTTATAATGCCGAGGACGAGCCGCCCGCGGTTATTAGTTTAGGAAGCTGCAAAGTACTCCGAAACAAAGTCTTTCTCTCTCTCTCTCTCTCTCTTTCTCACTCTCTCTCTCCAGCAGGTAATCAATATACAGGCGACGACCCCTGTCTCGTTTCACCTTGTCGGTTTAGCCTGAACCATCGGCGAGAGTCCCGGCTTACTTGTTCGTTCCAGGCGTCCGGGATAGCCGGCAGACAAGCAGTATCTTTAGCTAATAAAGCATCCCCTTCCGCTCCATCCTCTCCCTCTCTGCCCGTGTGGAGGGGCGGCCGACCAAATTATAATACACCTACCTCGTGTTTCTCCCCCGAAATGCTCTCAGACTTGATCGCTTTTCATCACGAAGCCGATTACGCGATCAGCATCCTCGAATATCTTTTTTGCCAGCAGTATACCCTCGAATACCTATATCTTCGTAAACTGTTCGCTTAATATACTTTCAATTGGATGGTCCCCGATTATCGAGGTAGATAGAATTTGGAAGCGGTTAACCATGTTTCGGACACGCTTAATTTTTTCACACCGTTTTATTTGATGCGCGTAATAAGGAAAGGAAAAGGTCACTAGGAGAGAACGTCAAGCTTTTCTAAATACATAGAGGATGCGTAATTGAATTATTTGCGTATTAGAAATTTTTTCTCGCAATCTTTCTTGCATTGTGTTTTTGCAGAATTTAATAAGTACGTATATCGTAGTACAGCATCTCTGATGCGTTTTGAACTTCCCGGTAATTTTTGCAGATGTCTGGCGAGCATCTGCCTCGATTAAGTAGTGTTTAACCTGTAATTTATTCCACCGGCAACGGTCGGGCGCTCGCAATTTACGCTTTAAATTGAAATGTAAAATTATCGTAGTGCATTGGATTTCCAATTGAGGAGTTCAGAGCGGGAGTGGAATAAATCTATAATTTGTAAGGTCCGCTTAAAATCTGAAGTTTGTAAAATCTCGCAGATTACAGTTTTACACGCCGCCGCCGCTGCTGTTCTGAGCCCTCCAATTTCACGCTCTATATACATATAATACTTTCCGTGCAGTTATATATTTTTTACAACTAGAGTGTCAATCGAATTAATTGCTAACGGATAATAACACATTATTTATCTAAAATCGTCAAGTTGTCGTTGCGAAAGAGAAGCTTCAGAGGATCGCGTGTATTTCATAAATTACGTGGCGCGCGCGGTTGTAGGTTGGTGCGTTATTTACATGGACAATACGTACTGGTGATAATAATGGAAATGCAGTTGTTAGTACCGCGGGGAAAAGGAATGACCAAGACACGTTCGCTAAGCTCGGTAAACATTGCGCAATTCACGTCGCGTATGCGTCATAGTTTGTTTGCACGTTGTTAAGCCGCGGCGAGAGTTAGAGAATAATTCTGTCCATTTCTCTATTTCAGTCCAAGCAGTACGGCGCTGGGTTCGCTGGACCAACTGAAGGAATATCTGACGACAGTGGGAACCTGCAAATGCGGCCTCGAGTGTCCGCTCAGACCCGAACAGGTCTTCAACTTCGACCCCAAGGTAAATACGAAACCGATTTATATTACAATTTTAATAACATTTCCAAGGGAAAATCAGCGCTAAGAAAAAATAATAATCAGTATAATTATTTCATTATTGAATTGCTTAAAAGTTATATTTCTGCTGGATTAAATGAAGAATTTCGTATTTTGCTGCGCAAAAGGAAGAACACACATAGTAATGTGTTTGACAAAAAAATATTCAGCTTTATCAGGCTTGTCGAGCAAATACGAGTAATTTCCGCGTTGAATCGCAACATCTTGTTTACACGGAAATGATTATTGCGACGTAAGTCTACCTTCGTTCAAATGATTGGAAAAAGTTGAAGCAGTCATACAGTAAAGAGATTCTGCTAAGAACTGTTAGACCCAAAGCCAATTTGTACATATTTGCTTAATTTAACTTGAAATTACGCGTAGCAATTCTCTAATGTATATAGATCTCTACTCTTAAGATGCGCGATACGGTCGAGTGATTGAAATCTCTCGTTTTCACATTACCATTATGTTCTCGTTTTATGAGCGTGATTAATGTGCGATCCTCTTGCCGCATAATGCCACAGAGAGATCTGCGGAATAGCGTTTCAGCGAGTCAATACGGTCGGCCCGTCGCACGATGACTCGATGTACGCGCGAGCGTGTTGCCTCGAGCAGACAGGCCGCGGCTCGCAACAGCCACGTACATGCGCAGGCGGTGGCGCGCTTATTCGGGACGTATTCATTATGCTCCATCCTTTTACGTTTGTGCCGTCGAGAGAGAGTTTATTCCGACGCGTCGCGACACGACGGCGAAAGTTCACAAGTACAACCTGTTATAGCTGGCGTCACGAGCGTGAGCATAATCACGCTTAATCGCCGGCGGCAGTTAGGCACCGTTTATTTATTTATCGTGCGCTCGTAATTGGTCCGCATTCACCGTGTGTATGCAGCCTCGCGAGGCTCGTGACTTACCGGGGGATAAAATATCGCTATTGTGCGTGCAGACGACGGCGAGGCGTCTCGCCGAGAGTGTATCGCGCCGTGCCGATCTCACCTTCTCCCCGAATCGATTAGGAAGTGTAATTCTTTTTCGTGACGACTAGGAAGAAATTATTTCTCGTGACCGAACGAAAGGCTCGATTAAGCGTTACCGTAATCAAAGCGCGCGACTCGTTGCGTATCTAAGAAAGAGTCCTCGTTATGTTTAACAATTTGATTACTCAATAATTACAAAGACAATTTCGATCATTTAATTTAGTATACATAGCATTTAATTTAATATTTTAATTAATAGACATTTTAATTAGTAGACATTAGTACTATTAAATTTAAATGGAAGAATATTAAAATGTAACAACTTACACATTTTACAATCAATTTGGCTCATGTCATCCATAATCGGCAAATGTTTGATGATCGGCTTTTGGCCGATCATGAAAAAATAATGCAATCGGGAAAAACAATCTTTTGCGATTAAAATGTTCAAGAATTTTAAAAAATTATTTTTTTTATTGGATTAGTAATAACGTTAAAAGCAGCTTTTTATTCTTATTTCTTGCTTATTAATGGCAACATAAATAACACTTAAAAAGAGCTTTCTCTGTGATGCATGTGAACAACGGCACCTTAAAGCGTTATCATTTCCTGACAATCTAATGTTCTCTTGATTCCACCAAAACTTCCCTCTCTTTCTCTCTGTCTCGTTTCGAATTCGTAGAAACGACGATGAATCACGTCCCGTGGAGCAGCCCCGGAAAATCGTACCTCTCACGAAACATCGCCGCGAACAAAACACAATCGAGCGTCCCGGCGCTATTTCTGCCGGCACGGCTGCCGTAAATACGTAATTTTTCTTACTTCCGCTATTTAGATATTTATGGTGCATTCGCGAGAGCGCGGCGGCACGTATCTCGGCCCGCGCCAACGATCCCGAAGAAATATCGCGATCGTGCGTGCCAACGATCGCGGCTTATTAAGAAATATCGCGCTCCGGGCACGTAACCGTTGTTCGCCCGAAGCGAAATGTGTGCGACCATTCCGAAAAAGAGCGCTCTGAATCTCGCGTTTATGGTGCGATGTCTAAAACCTGCGCCCTGAAACGCGGCTGAAGTTCGGCCGAATAATAATGTTCGTCGAAATCGTTTCGCGATGATTGGTCGATTGCGATTGCGCCTTCGATTCCGCAGGGTAATATTTGCATACCGGTTTCTCGAGGGGAGGCCGGAGGGGGATAAAGGGGTATAATAAGGCTAATTTTATGCTGGGTTTCCGTGCATAAATTAAAAATTTAGGAAAGTACTGGACACGTTGCGCCGGTAGATAGGAGACATAAAGAGAGAGAGAGGGAGAGAGAGGATACTCATCAGTTTTGCTTAATTATTCCGGTAGCATGCGACGATATACGAGGAAAACGTATAATTATCCGTGCACCTGCTTGCTAACCACTCACTCAGCCGCTGCTGCTCGTCGTCATATACCCAGTACACCATCGGTGCGTTAATACGTTCCCTAATTAAAGTTTATCGTGTTTCACCGATCTGAGGAGACTCTCCCGGACATAGGTACACCGATCCGGTCCGCCGTGTCGACGACATAGCGATCAACACGCTAATAATTAATAATCATTTGCATATCTCTAACACCGTAACATGAATACGATACGAATCGTATCGGGTTTATCGGCTATAGCTTATGATTACCACTGACATCTCTCGTCGCTCCTATCCCGACGCGAGTCGTATATATAGATTCTTCGGAAATCTGAGATCGATAATTGAGCCGATAGTAACTGCTATTTATATTCCGGTTTGAACAGAGAGAAAAATAAAAAATATATGAAGCTTATTTCTACATTTTCAATGCCATTTTTACCCATATTTTTTCAATATTAAAAAATATTGAAAAATTGAAAGATTTAATAATTATATCACTATGTATCATCATATTTAATCAAGTGGAATGTAATAAAATTCAACTTTCAATACAATTTTCAATTCTTTGATGCATACGTCTCAATGATCACTGAAAGGCTTAAAATAATAACCACTACGGCGCGATCGAGATATCTTAGACGCATTTCCACGATGCTTCGCGCGCGAGCAAGGCGGACTATCTTCTGGCATTCTCCGGCGAGTACAGATGGTATCGTGGTATCCACAATGCAAACTCACCTGGACAATAGCACTCGAGTGCTCGTCCGTCTCGGATAAAGAGGGGAAAGGAGTCTGAAGGAGAAGTACGTGGATTGTCGAGTGAAATCGGCATGATGCTTCGGGCACTTCGCGCCGCATCTCGAAGTGCATCGCGTTCGTTCACGACAGTCGGCCTCTCTCGAGTCGCGACACACGGCGAACACGGCGACACGAGATTATTATGGTAATCGAGCAACATCGCTCATGGCCCCGTCACGAGCCTCCCACGCTTTTTTCGCTGAGGTCTCAATGCGTCAGATCGAAACGATATCGCGCCCGCACGTACAATAGAGGTAGCTGGAACGTGAATAAACATTACATTCAAGAAAGTACAAGTACAATCGTTTCGATTATCGAACGTTACTTTAACGTATCGATTGGTTGGACTTCCTTCTTTTCGCGAGTAATCCATGAATTGATTCGATCTTTTTTGAGTTGATGACACGGCGCGATAAAATGACTACATTTTTGACGTGCTACACCGTGTACCGTTACTGGCAAAATATTGCGGCAGGCGGATCTGACGCGTTTCAATATGGACCTGACACAGACACGGGGTAATATCAGAATACACTGCGATAATGGATCGGCTTTGCGATACGAACTTTGATACGTCTTTCTCAAGCGACCCGCTCCTGGCGCATTTACAAGCGACGTGCACACACACGCGCGCTCGCGCTCGCGCGTATCCCTGAGTATCTCCACCTGCATTAATCAAGCACCGTAACTATCGGGACGATCTCCCACGGTCTATACCATCTGCCGGAGACAGCAGCCTTAACGTCTCTCTACGAACCTTTGATTTGGCTCGATTCTTTATCGCCCCCGCGCTACCGGCGCGGCGCGGCGGCCGACTGGCCAGCCGGGTTCCCTTCTTTCTGCCTTTTTCTCCCGATGCTCCTTTTGTAACTGCCGACGTTTCCGCCTATTGTTGCGCATACAACGGCGCGAGGAATCGCCGATGCGGGGAACGATTCCTCCGGTTTCCCGCGGCCGTATCCTCCAAGTGCTATCGCACAAACGGAGCGTCGCGTCCGTGAACTCCGACGTCGGGTTCAGCACGTGGAAACATCTTTGAGAGCAGAAGATTTCGATCACGATATCGGTTTTTTTTTCTGAGCACACATTCGCTGTTTTTTTAATCGGGTACCGGGTAGAAACTGTGAAAAAAAAAGAGTGATTGTGTAACGATAAGATTCTATGAGTATTCTTTAATTAACACGAAGTAATCCAAATAAATGGTATTTCGGCATTTAGAAGCCAGCATAAAGTTCTCGTTTGTCGCAAGTCCAGCCAGTCTTTCCCATCTGCGTTTCGAGGCGTTAGTTTATGGAGTTGTTGCTATCCATTATCGCTTTCAGAGGAACGGCAGGATGACTCGGGTGTGTCCCGACGAATGTATTAGACGAGCGCTTAAGCTCGCGTACGAGTTGTGCGCCGTGACGTTAACAAAGGGTAAGCGAGTACCCTTTTATTACACCAAGCCCGTCTCGCTTAAGCCCGTGCGTAAAGTAATTTGCCTTAATGAATTTGCATCTTCTCTTTCCATCGCGTTCCTCTCTGCTCCCGTCCCGTTTTCCTCCGGCCTGCATTTTTGATTCACAATTAAACGGCAGTTACCTCCGTCTAGGAAAAATCTCAATGAAAACACTTTTCTCGGAACCGCTACTCAACTTCTCGCCAGCAGCTTTCGTGAGAATACGCTTTTAATCCTTTGCATTAATTATAATACACGTCTTTTCAGTCCCGTTTTTTTCCTCCTAGTTTTATAATGCTTTTACTTGGCACTCGCAGATAATCGCATATTCAACAGTTGCTAATACAATGTTTA